GCAGGGAATAAGCAGCGCCGCTCATCCCCGTTATCCCGGGCTGCCCTGCCCGCCTTATCCCGGGGGAAAACAGATCCCGGGAGCAGCAGCGGAGAGGCCGAACGGTGCCGGGTTCCTAAATCCCGGCGCTTTCCCGCGCTCCTGCCGGCTGTTTCGCTCCGCTAATTTTCTTTCCGACGCCGGCTTGAAACAATAAAAACCCGAAAGGCCCCAAATTCCCCCCCGGAGCGCGGGGGTGCGCGGGGCCCGGCACAACGAGCCGTAAATTATCCGGAAAGCTCCGAGCCGGAGCGGCTCCGCGCACGGAGCAGCGGGAAATCCGGGATGGCGCGCGAGGAGGCGACGCGGGTGCACCCGGATTGCGGGATCGGAGGCGCCCCCTTATCCCAGCCCCTCACCCCGGCCTTAGGCCTGGAGCCGCCGGCTCCGTTGGACAGAGCTTTCCCTTCCCGACGGGAGGATTATCCGGGCGCTGCATTCCCTGCTGAGCCGCTGCCGCCGCAGGGATTTTCCTGCACGCGTTTTGGGCGGAAAAGGCGACTTTTAATGGCTGCGTCCATAAGGACCCGTGAAACCGTCGCATCCGTCACCCGCTCCGCGTTATCCCGTCAGCGCCTCGGCGGGAACGTGGCTGGAAGCGGCAGGAAAAGGGGCTGCAGGTGGAAGCGCGCGGGGGTGGATGCTCAGGAAAAGCTGCTCGCTCCGCTGGGATCTTCCTTGCACTTAAGAGTTTATCCCCTTAATTATTATTAAGGTGGAAAACGCCATTAAAAGGCTTTGCTGTCGGCTAAGGAGGGGATTAAAGGGGAGCGGAGCCCCCGGATGCGGGAATTGCAGCTGGGGATTCGGCTAATGCCGAGACCCGGGAGCTCCGGAGCGCGCGGCCGGATGAGCCTCCCCGTCGCAATTCCCACCTTCCGAAGGGAGCGCCGGGAGCGATCTGTCCCTCCAAACCTGGCCTGGCTTCCCAGGGAAAAAGCCTTTTGCTTTCCGCAGGCTTTTCCCAAGGAGGAAAAGGCTTTTCCAGGCCTTTGGAAGGAGACGCCATTGCAGGGTGGTCGGGAAAAAATGGGATCCGGGGAGAACCCGGCACCAGGAATCTCGGGAGCGAAGGGGGTCACCGAGACCTTCCGTGTGCCGCGGGCGGCGCGGGAAGGGGCAGAACCGGCAAACGCCCCCGTTTCTCCCCTTTTTCCTTTCTTTTCCTTCCCTGACATCCAAGGACGTGCGTGAAATCCCCATCCCTATGGAGCAGGAGAGCTAGTTCGGGCATCCATAGCCCGGAAAGCCATGATGGAAAAGGTGTCCGGGAGGAAGGTGAGGAGGAGGGACACGTTCCTCATACGCGAGCGGGAAATTGTCACCGTCGGCCCTTCCTCACGGAAGGGCTCCCCTAGGAATAGCGGGAAGATGGAGAGGAGCTACGGAAAGGGCCTATGGAAAGGGCTAATTCCCGCAGCGGGATGCGGAAGGGCCGTCGGTCGAGGTGGGTTGAGGAGGCGCGAGGGCTCCGGCGGCTCCGCTCGGGATCGCTCCGGGACGGGATCGCTCCGGGACGGGAAGCGCGCCCTCCCCTTTATCGCCTGCCTCCGTGGCCGTGCCGTAATTAACACACCGCGCTAATGACCTTCCCTTTGTGCAGCAGGGCGCGGAGCAGCACGGACCTCCGTATGGATGCGTGGATGTATGTGTGTATATATATATATATATATTTCTCTATATGCTCCACCGTGTGGAGGTAAACACCAACTGCATTGCAGCCCCGCGGCCATTCCCGGCGGCTCGAGCACGGGAAGAGCTCGGGAAGAGTTCCTTGCCCCTTCCAAGGCACGTATATACTATATACCATATACTGTATATTATATACCATATACACACACATGTATGTGTATATGTATATACGATATATATACACACACACATATATATATTATATATTAATATATCCATATATATGTGTGTGTATATATATTATATATATGTATATATATAATATATACACACACGTATATACACGCACACGTTATATATGTCTGTGTGTGTATATATGTATTATATATACACACACATGTATATGTTATATATTGTATATACATATGTGTGTGTAAATATGTGTATATATGTATATATAATTATATACACACATGTATATGTCTATGTTATATATTATATATACATATATGTGTGTGTATATGTGTGTGTGTGTATATATTATATATGTATGTATATGTATTGTATATGTATGTATTATATATGTATATATATGTATATATTATATATATACACACATATATACACACACATATATGTCTATGTTATATATTATACATACATATGTGTGTATATATGTGTGTATATATATGTGTATATATATTTTATATATACACACGCACATATGTATATGGTATATATTATATATACATATATGTGTGTGTAT